AAAAAAAATGTTATAAAGTATTTTTTATTATAATTAATGTAGAAAAAAGAATCACGCAAGAATCCTACATATTTGGTGTTTAAGATGTGGCAACGCTTGTTTTCCTCATAATTCGAAACAATCTAACCTTTGCAACGCCGAGTTCGCTAAGTGATTTTTAAATTAATAAATTTAGGTGAAAGATTTCAAAACAAAATTGAAATGTGAACTTATTTCAATGTTTAGAGTGTATATTTAAATATACAGAGTGAAAAACGTCAATAAATTTAATGGAAGATAGAGAAATACCTTGTGTTATTAGTGCGTATTTGTTTTAACTTTTAATCGTGAAAATTTAAAGAAATATAAGTAATTTTTATATTATTTTTGGATATTCCTCCTCTGGAGAAGCTCCCCTATCCGGACATACCCCATAAATACGTAAATTCGGTTTTTTTTACCCCTCCGTCAAAGTAATCGGAATCGTGCTTTTTTAAAATAAAAATAAAAATTGCCACTCAACCTTTACTCACATTGACCTTACGCTTTCCTCTCCCTCCCTTTCCAACAACTCATCATGGCACCTTATAGATGACCTTCACGGCAGCGATCATTTCCCTATCCTCATCAAAATTCTCACATCCCGACCCACCATTCCCTTCTCTCCCAGGATCAAATTCAAAACAGATAGACCGGATTGGAACAAATTCGAAAGCGCATGCGACTTCTATTCCAAATCTCTCCCTCTGTCCTCAACCAAACCAGTAAAGCCAGCCCCCCTATGGTGGAACAACGAAATTGCGTCCCTTAGGCAAGCCAAATAACAAGCGTGGTACAACTTCAAACGCAACCGGTCTACCACAACTCTCATTCAATTCAAAAAGCTGAACGCGCAATTTCGCCGGAAAATCAAAGATGCTAAGCTCGACTGTTTTCAAAAATTTACTAGCAGCATCAGTGCGTCMTCCGACCCTAAAAAAATCTGGGCTGACATAAAAACACTCACCGGTTTACCGTCTAATCCCCAAATCCACTCCCTCAATACCTCTCATGGCAATCTTCTATATCCCGAGGATATAGCTCAAGAATTCGCCAGTTACTTCTCTAACGCCTCTTCAGACCAAACCTTCCCCCCCGAATTTATCGCCTCTAAACGCTYACAAATCCTCCAACATCGTATCACACCAACCACTCTCTCTCATTCAGCCAAACTTTTAGAAGCCGACATATCTCTTTTCGAACTCCAACTCGCCCTGTCTGCAGTAAAAGGCCAGACACCCGGCATCGACAAAATATCCTATCCCATAATTAAGCATCTCCCCAGATTACTCCTTCACCGTCTCATYAAGCATTACAACAATATCCTCAACACAGGCCTCTACCCACACGCGTGGAAAACYAGCGCAATAATACCCCTYTTAAAACSTGGCAAATCCYCTTGCGAAGTGAAYAGCTATCGACCAATTTCCCTTCTTCCCTGCCTAGGTAAACTAATGGAGAAGATAATTGCTACCAGACTAACCTGGTACGCTCACTCAAACCAACTTATCCACCACAACCAAGTAGCCTTCAAGAAGGGACAAGGCACCACAGATGCTCTATTACACCTTGATCATTTTATTTCAAACGCTCTTTCCAGCAAAAACCATGTTTCCCTCCTTTCCCTTGACTCTCAAAAAGCATTTGATCGGATTGGAACTCCGGTAGTACTAAGGCAACTCGACAAATGGGAGATCGGCCCGAAAATGTACAATTTTATAAAATCATTTCTCTCAAACCGAAAATTAAGTGTACTTATATCCAACACCCGCTCCTCCATTTTTCCACTCGATAATGGCATCCCGCAGGGCTCCCCCTTATCAGTCATCTTGTTCATTATAGCCTTCAATGAAATTAGCGACATCTTTAACAAGTTCCCAAACATCGAACACCAAATATACGCAGACGACGTTTTGTTGTTTTCCAAATCTAATGATCAAACAGATGTCATGAGGACCTTTTCCAAAATCYTACGCCTATTATCCACATGGTCCCTCTCCTCAGGTCCCTCAATTTGTCCCATTAAAACCAAAATGCTACATATATACAAAAAACGATCCTGCAATTCTCCTTCATTTACCTTCAATAGTGTAAATATTGTATGTACAGATAATCTTAAGTTTCTCGGTATTGTATTCGATCCCAAATATTCCTTTCAACAGCACTGTAAATACGTTAAGGAAAGACTATGTAAAATTAAATATTTTTTTTTTTTTATTAATTTTTTTTTTTGTTTATTTTATAAAAGCTTACATAATAATACAATTATTATACAAACTTAAGAAAATACGCAGCACTAGCATCATGGGCTATCGGCCGGAAAAAAAAAAAATTAAATATTATTAAGTACTTATCAAGCAAACGCTCGCTGATTAGTTCGGCTCCGTTGATTAGCGTGACAAACGCCCCCATCTTATCAACCATCAACTACGGCATAGAAATCTATGGATTACACGCTAAACAAAACTTAAAGATGATCGCTGCTCCCTACCACGCCGCAGTGCGAAGATCCATACGCGCATTTCCAACGTCACCTATAGAAAATATTCTGGTTGAATCAGGTTTGCCGGCTCTTCACGGCAACATGGAAGACAAAATATTCAGGCTCTATTCAAGGCTCACTCTAAGCCCCAATCCTCTTGTMCGCAAAGACTTCCAATCTGCCGCCTCACGGGTCTCCACTCCTAAACAACCCTCTTCAATACACACCTACTCCTTATTCGCAAACCAGGTTGAACTGCCGATCAAGCAGCACATTCCGCGGTACACTCATCACCCCCCCTGGGCGGGCAGCAAAAGATCTTTCATTAATGACCTAGCCTCCTTGCGGAAAGATAGCACACCAAA